CAATATGAAGGAAAGGGCCCAGGAGGTGTGGTGGAAGGATGGTGGAGGGCGCCACCTTCTTTCAAAGGCGCGCTAAACGTTGTGATGTTAGGCATGGCAGGCATGACTACAATACTATCATCTTCGAACGAGACACTTCATATAATTCCGATCAAACCCCGCCCGCCCTTGGCGGGCTCGTTTGATCCATCAATTTTCAGGAAGTTTAAAGTCACCTTTCGGTAAAGCGAAAAATTAACTAAAAAATATTTTTTCGGCAAAGTGCAAAAATGTGTAAAAAATATCTTTTTGGCCAATCTTTCTGGTCAATATGTCGAACCGATATATAGCGAATCGACGTCTCACTTTCCGCGTGTAGCGCGATAGTCGCGACATGCATGCTCCTTGCTTGTTCGTGAATTATAAGTGTCTTCCTGATAGACGACAATCGTATTTGGACATAAGATGAATCATATTTTTCGCGTGGCTATCGAATTAATACGATGTAATGTGTCGATTAATACAAGTTAATCAAGGAAACCTGTCAAATTTGTCAAAAATATAAAAGCGCATAATTAAGTAATATAATATATGTATACTCTGGTTTATTGTCTGTTTTTTTTATTAAGACATATGCTCATTATAATTATTATTTAAGTTTAATTGAAGCATTTTCAAAGACTTGATCAATATAATTTTCTTATTTCTTAATTGTATTATATATTGTAAATATTATACAATTAAAATATAAAAACTTTAATCAATCAGGTTTTCAAGATGTCACTATTAAACATTTAGTAGTTAATATAAATAACGTAAAATTTATTAAAAGTTGACTTCTAATTGCCATAAAGTAGACTTCTGGTCGCCATAAAGTAGACTTCTAATCATCATAAAGTCGACTTTTAATTGCCATAAAGTCGACTTCTAAGTCGACTTTTGGCTGACTGACAGCCGACTATAGTCGAGTCATTTGTCGACTATTAGTTGACTATAAGTTGACATTCAGCTTGACTTTGAAGTCGACTTTAGACTTCTGCTGCCGACTGACAGTCAACTAATAGTCGACTTGGTGCTGTTTGGGTAGTAGGTAATTGATATTCTTATAACAGCATGGATCAGAAAAGGAAAAGACTGTCTGGAAGCCAATATAAAAAGAAACGCTTAAAGAAAGATGAAGAAGGAAGAAAGCTAAGCCATGTCATGAAAGAATTCTTGGTCCCTAAGCCTCAGTCAGAAGCGTCTACATCCACATCAACAGCAACCTCTTCGGATGTGGTGGACTCATCAGTGCTGTCTGAATCACCTCCTAAAGAAGTTGTTGAAGAAAGCCAAGAAATCACACTCCCAGAAGATTATCAAGAGCAGGGTAGCAATAGCAGTGAGTTCCAGCAAATAGACAAGATCTCTGATCCTGCACTATGGAATATTTTCTGCATGTCATCCAAAACTCGTCAGATACTGGTTGAGAGAGGTCCACATCAAGTTAAAGACCTGGAATTTCCTATCAACACAGGAAGGCGCAAATTTTCACCCTCTCATTATTGCAAAGTATTAAGCAATGGTGAAATTGTTGAGAGAAATTGGTTGATTTACTCTGTTACAACTGATGCCGTTTTTTGCTTTTGCTGCATATTGTTTGATAATTCGTCTTCCCATGATTGGTCTAAAAAAGGTTATTCTGACTGGAGAAATCTTGTACGTGCGCTCACAATGCACGAAAAGTCTGCAAATCACAGAAACTCTTTCAGACAATGGAAAGAATTTGACACTCGTTTAAAAAAGAACCAAACTATTGATGCCGAATATCACAAAGTTATGGATTTGGAAATTCAGCACTGGAGAGGAGTTCTAAAAAGAATTATTGCAATAATTAGACTATTGGCTTCACAATGCTTAGCCTTTCGAGGAACAAGTGAATATTTGTTTCAACCTAATAACGGAAATTTTCTAAAGCTGGTTGAATTGCTTGCCGAGTTTGATCCAGTTATGGAAGAACATGTCAGAAGAGTTCAACGAGAGTCTGATAAATGGTCTGTGACTTACCTAAGCAATAATATACAAGGAGAACTTATAAATTTGATGGGAAATGAAATTTTACGTAAAATTGTAGAAATAACAAAAAAGCTAAATATTTTTCCATAATTGCTGATTGTACCCCAGATGTAAGTCATATTGAACAGCTCTCATTAACAATAAGAGTTGTCACATGCAACCCAATTGAAAATAAGTACGAAATTGACGAATTCTTTATTGGTTTTTTTGAAGCAACTGATTCAACAGGAGAGGGTTTAACAGAACTTATTTTGTCTTTTTTGAAAAAAATCGGTTTTGAGTTGAAGTGGCTTAGAGGGCAAGGCTATGACAATGGAGCGAATATGAAAGGAGTCAGAAAGGGTGTACAAAACAGAATACTTGAAAAGTATTCGCGGGCGTTCTATGTTCCTTGTGCATGTCACTCTTTAAACCTAGTTGTGAATGATGCAGCGTCTTCTTCTACAGAAACAACATTTTTTTCTGTTGTACAAGAACTATATAATTTCTTTTCTGGTTCTACAAAGCGCTGGGAGATACTGAAAAAACATGTTTCACATTTAACTCTCAAACCACTGAGTGCTACTAGGTGGGCAAGCAGAATAGATGCACTAAAACCTTTGCGGTATCGACTTTGTGAAATATATGATGCATTATTCCAGGGGTGGGCAAAATGCTGCCCGCGGGCAACGGGCGCCCGCGGACGCCCGCGGGCGCCCGGCCGGCGGGCATACCCCCACTCCAATCATCGCCCCACCACGTCTACAATCAAGTTCGGCTGCATCGCTTTCAACTCTCACACATTGAAAGCGACTTTCTTTGACATATAATGAGTAACAAAGATAGAAACGCTTTAGCGTGTGAGTGATATGATTATGAACTTTAGTACAATATTTTCTTTTACAATAATAATATGTTTGAAATTTGAACTCTTGAGCGTACAGGCGTTTATCATATTTTTTAATGATCCAGATAATTTAGTCGTTAAATTCTGAAAAATTATTTAATTTCTCATTTACTTAGTAATTTAATTAACCACCTCCACCTGTACCAGGTCCTAAACGGCTTTTACGTTTCAAATTGATTTATTTAATTTCTTTTATCTCGACGCTCTCCTTGTGAGCATAACATATAACATTAAGTACAAACACGAAAGACAAAGGGAAACGACGAATAAACTTTGACTAGCGAGATTTTTACAAGTCAACAAAACAACAAATTATTATGACTGCCAAAACATGAGCTGCTATCAGGGAGTTCTCCAACCTTCAAAAAGCGCTATAATAAATAAGCTTAAATTCGTGCTTTCA